ATGACCATCTGATGCTGCGGATGTACCTAAAAAACAACCAAACAGCAACTTAGAAGTTTCCCCGAGACCCATATTAGGGACATCAAATTCTTCAATAAACAGGGTTCCCGAATATTTTTAAACGAAACCGGAGGATTACACCGGAAGCTTTGGATAGTCAAATATCAGGGAAAACCCAGTTGTTCGCGAACCTATCAGCTAGCACGCACATAGTACCCCGCAAGACACCGGCAACCGTTCAATGGTTGTTCTGTCATCAGTGAACACACATGCGGTTAGATTTCGTCATTAATCAGTGGGCTTTGCACTCTGTCTAAAACAGCGCTTTCGTGCGGCAGTCTCGGTGGATATCTTACAGATGTTTAATTGGCTGGAGATAACGGATACAGGAATTTGAAAGCAGTTTCTAGGTGAGCATGAGATAGGTAAACTAAATTTGTCAATTGACATGAGAACTGCTGTGGAGTGGGTTCTAAATAAAAGGAACGCTTTTTCACCAGCGGCGACAATCGCGCCAATAAGATCAGTCACAAAATTCGGTCACACGATTCACACCAACGCTGTCCATGTTTCCAATCCGATTGCAAATTCTGATTTCCAAATGAGAAAACCTAAAGTCATTGGGGCTAAACATACCAACCACACGCGGACAAGCGGGGATGGAACAGATGACAGTGCGGATACGCAGCAGATTTCCTTAGTTTCAAACCCTCTCACTATACACAATCGTACATTCAATGTTAATTTTATCTGCATGCTACCAGACGGATTATAAGTTAAAAGATAAATGGCTATATTGAAAGTCAGCTGTGACTAAGCCACAAAGGCACTCGCATATCATGGATCTCAAATTGATTACCTTATTGCTGCACAGAATTAGTGTTGCAAAGGCTGGTGTGATAGAAGAGTCATTGATAATCTCAGTTGCAGGTTTGGGTTCGTGATTTTCCGGGGACTACAATCACTAAGGTGGCTTCTCTGATATGCAATAATAATTGCGCTGACCCTCTGGCATATTAACTGTGACAAAGGATGTACATTAGAATTATGCAAAAAATACCACTAATCAGCATTGTGCTGTAATCTTTTGAACAAAAACCATAAAGATCAGCGGAGAGATCATCAAGCTCATCCTTCATAAACCCTACTGGGTGACTTTCGACTCAGTCGACCGGGCTAAACTTTGGCAGTGCCTCTCCCTGAAGGATGTGTCCAAGAAGTTTATTTCAATATTATGATCCCCAGTCACAGATAACGGCACTTTCCCACCGAGTTACATACAGACAGGTGTTTCACAGGGTTCCCTCTCTCCATTTCTAATCAATATGTTATAAATTTATTCTCGAGACAGCCCTATCCTCATACGAATACAGTGGCATCGATTTACTCCCAGGTGGTGGACTATCTGATCTAGAGTATGCAGACGACATTGTGCTACCAAGTGAAGATTCAGGTAGGTTACAAGCTTTTCTGGATAGTCTAAGTGCTAGTGTAGCCATTCGGTATGCGTTTTGTGCTTTCAAAGTGTAAAATGTTACTACAAGATTGGGTTGACCCAGCCTCCATCCTCACACTGACCAGGGAAGTAGTAGAGGGAGTAGACAAGTTTGGTTTGATAGTTCTAAAATTTGATCTGTGGTGAACCTAGTTGTATATGGCCACTCACCCAGTTTAGATAGACATCTGCATACATTTGTCAGCATTAGTGCCCCTGGACACTTCCTGCCTCCTAGCCACGAAACTGAGCAACTGTTGTTGATATACTTTACCTGAATTATTTCAGACCATTGCTGGATCGTTTATTTTAATTCACCCCTTATAATGGGCTTTGCAGCTATCCACTGGCACCATCGACTGAGTCGTGCTTTTCAAGGTTGTCTAATAAATGAGTGCTTGGACAATCATTCCAAGCTTTAGAGGTGTATGCGGGCTTTAACTACAGCTGTTCAACCATTTTTGTTATATTTTTCAACATGTTAGAATCGATTGTGTACACTCCGTTGCATCCATTGCATAGTACCATCAAAATTGATCATCTCTAAATGCACAAATCGTGATTGCAAGTGCTCGGCAGCTACTCTTTCCGAAACCTTGGTGCGGCCGAGCGCCTATATAGTATCCATTTCAACGACAAGAACTAGAGGTTTTTTAACCACCGGCGAATTTCGTTTTTTCATGTTTTTCACGATACCATGCTGTTCATGATGAATAACTTCTACGTGTTTCTACGTTCTTGCGTTTAATCCAACAGTTCAATTGGTTAAACCCAAGTTGCCTGAGTGTACCGTAAAAGAAACGGTTGAATGTTTCAGATTGTTTATACTACCATTCCACAATGTGATGAACATTATTGATCGGGTTTATGTGACAGCTGTTCCTGTTTGGTTGTTCTTCATCAAAACAGTCACCTGTTTTTCGGAGTCATCCAGTTCAGTTCTTACAACCAACAATCATGTACTTTCGTGCGCCGGTTTTGGTTGCTGTCTTCTGGCTGTCCATTTGACAAAAGGATGGAAATTGGAATGTTGAAAGCCAATTCAGGCGGAAGTCAGAAAAATAATATAGACTGATATTACAAGAATAAGGAGTAGATGCATGAACGCCACTACGACACTCAGCCATACCGCTTAGTGTATTTAACCATCGGTGATCATGATCTCTGGGTTCCCAGTCAGGGTGCCTAACGGGACCTATGTGACCCAGACCCCACGGTTTCCATACTCTCATGCCAGGGCTTAGCTGGACCACCCATGGCTTTTTCCAACCACGCCCTGCCTCGGCAAACATCGCACGCAGTGGCAGCCTATCTGATGACATGCGTAACACATGGCCCAACCAACGTGATCTATGGAGGTCAACTACCTGTTCCAGTGGACGACCGCGATTACCTAAAACTGTACGCCTATCCTCTGCATTGCTCGTCCGGTTTCCCCTCCAGACTCGTGCAATGCTACGTAGACACAAGTGTTCAAACACCGGAAATCTATTTTTTATCCTGTTCCTGTAATGGCCAAGTCTCTGCGCCGTATAGCAGAACTGGCCGAACTGCTACAGCATATACTCGACCCTTCACAGACAATCGAATGTCGCGACGGTGCCACAGATGTCTCAAGTTGGAAAATGCCAACCGAGCCTTTTATATGCGCGCCGACACTTCATCTGTGATGCGTCCGCCAGGTGAGGTGCAGCTACCCAGATAGCAAAACTTGTCTACTCCCTCTACTACTTCCCTGGTCAGTGTGAGGATGGAGGCTGGGTCAACCCAATCTTGTAGTAACATTTTACACTTTGAAAGCACAAAACGCATACCGAATGGCTACACTAGCACTTAGACTATCCAGAAAAGCTTGTAACCTACCTGAATCTTCACTTGGTAGCACAATGTCGTCTGCATACTCTAGATCAGATAGTCCACCACCTGGGAGTAAATCGATGCCACTGTATTCGTATGAGGATAGGGCTGTCTCAGGAATTAAATCTATAAATACGTTAAATCAGTCCGGTTTCAGTTTCTGCAATCATTGACCATACGCTTTCGTGCGCCGGTATTGGTTGCTGTCTTTCGGCTGCTCATTCGGATGAACATGAGAAAGACAGGAACGGTTGAAAGCAAGATCGATGGGAAAATTTAGGATTCAATGGCACTAATTTCGCAGAACAATCGACAAGATGCACGAGCACCACTGTTTACGACACCCAACCGTATCACTCAGTGTCTCCAACCATCGAGTACGATCATCTTGAGGTTCCCATCCACGGAGGACAACGGGACCTAGTTGACCCAGACTCATGGTTAGGGTTTTCATACTCGCTTTCCAGGTCTCAGCAGATCGAAGGCAATCCGAAAGAACACCTCTTTGAGCAGTGAACTCGGGTGAAAAAGTGATCCAACTCCGGCTATTAATAAAAAGGAATCGTAATATTAAACTTCTCGGGCACATCCTCTAGGGAGAAGGCCTCGCCAGAGTTCAGAGCGATCGACTGAGTCCAAAGCCGCCTTCAGATAGAAAACAGAGGTGGTGAGTTTACGAAAATCACATCTGTAGCCCGAGGTTATTAGCTCCTACGTTCATCTAGCGGGGTTTTTTTGACCCTCCGGGTTTTCTTGTTGGAGCGAACTCTCCAGGGGCTGGAGTGGATAGACAAGGGAAGCCAGGTGGTGCCCAAGCAGCTGGCCTTGTGAGACTGATCCTTGTTCGGCCTCAACCCATGGACCTTTCAGGCATGGTTTGATCTGCGAATGTAAAGAGCCATCGTGCGTAGCTCGCAAGGTCAAAGAGGCAGGCAAGCCAAGGTGCAGTCTCGTCGCGATGGAAATAGTAGTAGTTACGGTTCCGTAGCTCAGTTAGTGGACCGTATTCAATGCAGAGGTATAGTTGGTGTACATGCATTTTAATCCAACGAAGGTTTGTGATCTCTTTCCAATTACAGAAAAACAAACAGTTACCCAAATCCACTGAAGAACTACACCCGAAACAGAGAGTAGTGCGAGTCAGTCTTGTAAAATTTCAAGTCAGAAGGATCTGCTTTGAGAACGTATTCCGAAGGGGCAAAGTTGAACAGCCCTAACCACAATTGAGAACGCTTGTCAGCCATCAGTATAATCCCAGTAACACACGAAATTCGCCCGCTTCAACAAATGAATATTCTCATTTCCGATCTAATTCGCTGGAGATCGGGATAATACTCGAGTGGGCTTGTTTAACCGACTACAAAGCTTGGAAAAGATGACTGAATTGTTTCGAAGATGGCCGAGAAAACGTAGTATAGTGAAAATAGGACGGGGATACATAGCGTGAGCGCACAAGACTGTTAAAAATTCAAGGTATTAATAGTGGTTAGTACCATATTCGTAGCTCAAAACATGTTCAGCAGTTAAAAACATGAAAACGAAGGTGGTCTAAACGACGCTTGATCGCATCCATTCACCCAACCACTTCTGTCCATATATACACATGCTCACACAAATATAGTACATACACTAGGTACATGACCCTCGAGGGTAGAAAATCATTCACTGACGGCAGGAACATTTGAAACACTCAACCACTGTACTATCAACTTGGAATATAAACTGCAACATTAAATAGATAAATGAGTAAAAAAGGCAACCTCACTCACCTTCTTGTAGAATTGACTATATCCAAACTTACTTATGAGTAACTCAGATTTTATTATCATTCTGTCTCATCAGAGACGAAACCGTGTACTCCGAAACGCATCAAATTGAATTGAGGATAACTATGTCTCCGAATGAGTGAAAAACTTGACCCGGGAAAAAAATGCCCCGCACGTAATACATAGTCCGAATGTCGCAGCTTGAAAAATCCCGTTGGATGTACCCAAAGCCATATGCTCGTGAAAGCAAACAACGAATGTTTTTAAGTCATGTTTGTCTACGACCTGTGTACATCTATTCAGTGGTACCTTGCCTAACGCCTTTACTATCAGTTGGTCTTATCTGCTGTTATAAATAAGTCGTTTTGAATCGAGGTTTAGCGTGTCGAGATATGGGCATGCAGGAGGTTCATGCAGCACGGCAGGACTAGGAACGAAAAATGGCCAGGGGTGACGCTACATTGACTAGGTTGGATAATCACGAAAAACTGACGGCATGCACACCTACCTCCACTACCACCTCCACTACCGCGACGATCATGAGGGTACTTGTCGTGTTCATATAGATGACAACCGGCCCGTCCTGATCCACTTGCTTGAGTCAGTTCATGTCCTAGAGCAGCTGATCCGATTGCTGAATTCAGCGCGCTGCTGATAACCATCGTCGATGATAGCGATGTGGCTCTACTCGCACAATCAGCTACATTAGTGTCACCATAGTGAACGCTAAGGGAGCCGCTTGCCATGGACTGCACAGCACAAGACTCAGAGACCACTGGTTTAGAATCAGTGCATACGGTGACAGAGTCATCCGTGTGATTTGACAACCGAATTGTCAGGTTACCTCTCGTGCCGGGATTACTAGATGCACTTTCCGGGTCACTCGATCCTTCTGTTGCTGTTTCCCATTCCTCTGCGTCACAAGCGTCACCTACAGTTCCACGAGCAGCTACAAGAAACACGAACAAGGGAGAATCGAAGAGAATCGGACAGCAAGTCGCCATGTTTGGCGCACGCGGGCTTTCAAGATCAGAGAATACAAAGCAGAGCATGACTAAACGTAGTATAAATTATCCCGAGAAAAAATCAATCGATACCAGAGGTATTGGGTGAAAAGTGCCAGTCAGTGACTCAACTTAACCCATGGGCGCTGAACACGTTAAACGATTGTTGCCTCTATTTGGTTCGCTAATAGCGAGGAGCGTACTTGCCTGCGAAGACTATTAATGACGGCAAGCTGCATACGCACAAAACTTAAACGATCACAAAACGTCTCGATCACTCCCGATACACGAAGACAAGTGGTAATTTGACTACTTACCAGGAACCTGACGCTGAGGTCTGGAGACATCTGCACTGCTCGATGCAGTATTGTTGTCATTGCTCTCTGCATCAGTTGGACATGACTTTTCAGCTGTTCGAATTTGCGAGTTCGGGAGTCGGTCGTTTCCATCATGTGCGGAATCGTTAGAAGATCCTTTGTTACGAGAGCCACCGCCGTTTTGATTATCGCCCAATTCATTGCAGCCATTAGTCCCGGAGGAGCCACCAGAACCGTAGGTATTCGCCCCATCTCCGCCCATCGTAGAACGACCGGTACCACTTCCACCACCGGCTGCTGCACCGCCATCACCATCTTTGTCATCGCGGAATCGATTCTGTGAATCACGATACCGCCGAGACCCCTGAATGTTTGAACCAGTTGAACGTTTTGTCTGCTGTTGTTGTGTGCCGCTGGTTCGACTAGATGCTATGCGTCGAAGACCACCGCGTTGGAATGTGGCCGACCGATGCCCGCGAGTATAATGAGTGCGTGAAGATTTGAAGGCTGTATCCATTGGTGGTACACGCACAGTAGGTAGATCACCTTCATCGTAATCTTCCACGGGAAGTTCATACGAGGCGGGCTTTTCTTGGGCCTGGTGTCGACAAACAAGTTGTGAAAACTTATGAAAATGAACAGCAACAGTGCAAAAAACTAGCCTCTTAGGAAAACAATATCCGATTTGTGAGAGTAAGAGTTAAGCTCAAACAGAACCTCGACATGTTTCCCGCAACCACCGATTCACAAATACAATTCCCCGTAATACGAACACCACCGACTGCATCTGGTAAGTCAATAATTCACATGAATTTTCGATTCATCGACAGGCTGAGTCAGATGAAGTTACCTCGAAAATCCGAAGCCCTGATCACTGCGTTTTCGTGGCGGCTTTTGTCACCCAAGTGAGTGAGCTAAAAGTCAACATCTGGGGCTATAACCGAGTCGGTGAACAACTGGCAGTTGACATAAAGTAGTTGGTTACAAATCCTGTTGCCATACCGACAGTGTTATGTTAACCACACGCACACACCGGTTCTGTGGCAGTGATCATCGTCTCGACCAGGCTTTGAACAGTACCGGGCACTTTGAACGTTCGACTCCAACCAAATTGCGTATAACCCGATGAATTGGATACCAGCCCCCAAAGAAATGCTGTTTTCAAAAACCGTCCTGCTGCTTCATGGGTCAGAATTTGCCTAGACAAAGGCACTAGCTTTCGATCACTAAGAACATTCGCTCACTCTGGCGTGGTTTGCTTGGTAGTATTTGGGCTACCGGCGAAACATAG